GTGGCTGGGGCCCCTATTTAAAGGGATAGATATGCGTAGCCCTAGATATAGCCAACTGACATTCTGCGGTTGTTCTATACATGTTTGGCTATACCATGCCACTAACATGCACATCCTTGTCATACCACCATTTTTAGGAAATCTTCTTCTTATTCAAGGTTGCTTTCTTTAGGGCCTCCTCCTGTCTTTTCAAGACTACATATGTCTTCTTCCTCTTGCGAAGAATGGGATTGCTTGGAGTTTCTGTTGATCCAACATAAACAATATTATCATGCCCAAACAAATCACCCACTTCTGCTTGCTTGTGGACATGCGATCTACAAAATGGCTCTAGTGGAGCTATGTCAGGGGTGCTACCTAGTTGTTTCCTCTTTGCCTCTTTGGATTGCTTCGCCTTTTTAGAAGGCTGCGGTTCGCCAAACCTGGTGGGTCGGTTCACCCCACTGTCGCCACTGCTTGACTCATCTGCCTATGGGGCTGCTTTATGAGTCGATTCCAGTCCACAGGGTGCCATGCACTCATGTGCTTTCTCAAGCTACTCTAGTGCTTTGGCTTGTGCCGCTAAGTCCAACTTATAGGCCAAATTGATTGGCACAACTCGTTGCACCTTTTGGCTACCGCTTGCATGAAGGGACCGACGGACCTCAGCCTTATGTTGGCGTTTCCTCACCCGCTTTTGCTCATACTTGTCGGGATTCATTTTTTTATCCCATTCATATCTAAGAGATTTTTGCTCTCTGTAACATTGGCTCTCATGAGCTTTACGCTCATTGTGCTGCTGTGCACAAGCAAACCGCTCGTGGTTGTGAGCATGCCAACGTTCCTTCTTCATGCAATATATCTATGCCTTTTCTGACATATTCCCAGGCAATGGGGAGGCGTGGGATGAAAAAGAAAGTTCCAAAATTTCCTCCTATCAATGGTGAGGTTCATTCTGATTAGGCCTCCTAGAGCTGCCGTCACTCTAATCCCATGGCTTAGGCATATGCCTGAGTACAAAGTTGGGGTTATCCCTGGCAATCTGATCTGCCATGCCCGGGCCATACCAACACTAAATTTTAATCAACTTTGCGGTGATAAGGCGCATCCCAAACATTTGTGAGGTCATTTTCCAGCCTTTATCAAGGTCAGCAAGCTGGTCTGAATGAAATTTTGTCCACACAGCTCAGCACCTCTGTGGCCTACTATATTGCAAGATGGGGTCCGTCTTAAATTCCAATATTCAAGAATCCTCTTGTGGACCCCATTTTGGCAACTCCAGCTTGCGTGGGTTCCATGTTGGCCCTTCCAGCTTGCTGGGGCTCGGGTCACACACTCTACGGGCGCTCTCCATCAAGGAGCCCCTGCTAATCTGCTCCTCATCACTAGATGTCTTTGCATGCACCTGTGATTTAACCCGAGGTTCACAAACAATAGCCAATGGGCCTACTTGTGTATCTATCTCAGGCTGCGGGAAAAGCTCACTTGGCGAAGGGCTCTTCCTCTTTGCCCTGGGTTGGCCAGCTACCTGCCACTCTCTAGTTGTTTTTGGAATGCTTGGTAATGGTGATCTAGGCCCCATCGGAGAGGGTGCAATCTCGGGTTGTATGGGAGCCGGGGAAGCTCGCAAGCACTCCAACTCTTCATGTTGCTCATAGGTCTTTACTTCTCCCTCAAGAGGCGGTCGCTCAGCCAGCCCACCTCCTCCTGGGCAAAGGCCCTGGCAGCTTCAGCCTCCTTGCTCTGCTCTTGTGTTTTTTTTGAGGCCATTTCATACTGGCACGCCTCCTTTTGAGCTATGGCGGTATCAATCTCAAGGCACGCAATCTGGTTTGCTGCATCCCGATCGCGGGCCTCTTGCACCTTGGCGGCCACTATTGCCGCCATCTTTTCTAGTAGCTCCATCATTCCAGGAGCTTGGAGAAATGTCGTTATGGTACCCGGCTCCACCGGTGCGTTTGTGGGGACCTCCCCTGCTTCTTCTATTGGTTGGCCTTGCACCTTAGCCTGTGCTCGACCACCGGATCCTCATGCTATATCCTCCTAGATTGCACCTTTAACTTCAAATCTTCCCTCACGGGATGTTGTCATGTCACCAGCCTCCGCCACCAGTTCGCCATTCCTGGTTGCGCAGTCGGCCATGTCACCGGCCTGGCCCTTATGGGCTACATGATCTGTTTCCTCAGCCTCCATGAAGGAGGCCGGGGATGGAGTCTCCATGCGCTGTCCTCTCCTTGTGCTACGGAAGTGTGCGACTCACACGGTGCGAGCCACACCCAGTTGGCTCCAAAACCAAATGATACAACAATATTGTTGGTATAGGGCGCCTGCCCTCTTTTTGCCATAGACCCGCCTCGCCGGGCACCTAGGTCCTTACGGGGACCTAGGTGGGACCACCCCGGCCTACTCCCATATATGGGATATATATCGTGCAGTAGTATAAGATCCATTTTGGGTACTGTTACCGTATCTTGGGTAGTGCATCCCCCAGTGGGGGTGTGGCACACCAAGAGACCATTAATAGGGCGTCCCCCGCATGAGGCCTATGTATATAACACTTAGTGGTGATAACCTAGTATGGTAAAAACCCACGGGAGAACTCCAACACAAGGGCATTGATAAGGCACTATGGCGAGTCTGAATATCAGTTTACCTTACTGAGAGTTTGAACCTTGCCTATGGCAGATGTTTCCGCTAGTGGTTTTCCTAGAAAAGTCTAAAATACTGGTATCCCAACCCCGACTAAAAACAAAAGCTTAACAAGTGGTGTGTATATAAGACATGGATCCCCTACCAGATTTGATACAATTATGAGCAAATTCGCTAGATTTTGATCATAATGATAGGTTGGGTAGCCATGGGATGTATAATTTGGACTTTTCAGCTATTGTTGTCAGTGCACGATATGGCTAGATAGTATGTGGGAGATTTGATTGGATTTAGGCAGTCTATGGGAGCTGTACAAAGATAGGACTTTGAATACTAGGAAAATTTGATGTGCATGACATTAGGCATTGTGAGAAGGGTAGTGGAGAATATTCTATGGTATGTGTTGTGAAGTGTATGGCTAAAAACAAACATGAGAATGTATATAAACTGGTGGATTTGGTCATGTCGTTGACCTCTAGTTTGTAATCTATGTTGGGTTGTAGCTATTGAAGCGAGTCATACCTCCTCGCCGGCTGAGGAAAGGACTTGTGAGGCCCACTGAGTGTCCCTTTCAAGGAAGGGACTCAAACCTTGTGTGCGATTGGTGTGAAACAATAGGCCTCTGAATTTTTGCCACTTTGCCACTCAAAATCGACCCCCGCTCTTCTAAATTCAACTCGACCTTTCACCGTTGCTCTCAAAGAGGTCTGGTCATGGTGAGGCCACGATTTTTGCAATACTCAATTAGTTCTAGCTTCAACAATGTGTTGTTCGAGTTCCCACAAAATGACCAACATTTGTTCGTCACTTTTGTATTTTGGTCATTAAACGAGGGCGCTCAGCCCAGCTTGGCTGTTTGCCCCAAGGCGGTATGGGATGGGGTTTATGATGGCATTGTTTTCTAGTGCATTATCAAGGACAGCGCCTAGAGCCATCGCCACCATTTCCGGCGCCCGGAGGTGGTGGCATGGCACTCACTTTAGCCTGATGTTAGACTTGTCTTTTGGCAGTTCTTTGATGAGCCCGTAATTTAGAACTATGGGGGCGACTTGTGGGAGTGAGCCGCGGGGGCGAGGCGTGGGAGCGAGGGGCGGGGGCGAGCTGCAGGATGCATTGTGATAAGTTTGAAGCGCAATGTGATGTGCCACAGTGATGCGGGGTGCGATGTGATGGGCCACGAAGTGCGATGCAAAATGATGGGGAGTGAGAAGTGATGGGGGAGTGACAAACAGAAATTCTGGTTGACTGGGCATGTGAGTTCGGGATGAGAGGTGGGTACGGCATGCCATGCCCGCCAGATACAAATATGGCTCTATCCACCCCAGTGGTGCAGAGGCCAAAGATTGAAGTTTTTGGGGCATGTAATACATTCCCGTCTATCCGTGTGGTTATGCGATGATGGATGTGTGGAGGCGACGACAAGGTAGGTGACCACAAGTCCCACGCTGCCTCATGGATCGGTCTCTTTGGTTTGCTTTGTGGTGTGTGTGACCCTCACTCGGAATTTGTGGGATTGAACGCTGGAATTCTGTGTGTGTTGGTGCTTGCGGTGGGTGCCACTCATGATGGGGCGCCGGGGGTGTTGATAGTGAAGGGGAGCTTGCAAAACAAGGTGATCGCCGGCTGCAAGGAGCAACAGCGTCAATCACTCTGCCGTGATGGGCGTAGCGCCACCGGCACTTGGTAGGGGGCCTTGCCATGCTTTGTCGTGACTGGGGGGTGGCGTGGCTACAAGCACCTGATGTTTTTACTACTAAGTTGCAAATTTGGAGCACCGATCAGAGTGACATGGGCGTTGCCTTGGTGTATGTGATCAAGATTTGATAGGGTGCGGCGACTTCATTTTGCCAAATACCGCAGTGGTTAAGATGACGGGTGAGAGCACGTACTCAAGGGGAAGACATGTAATTCCTACAGAACGCAATGATCATCAACGACTGAGCCCAAATTTTTGGCTTTCATTTTTGCGTTAGCTCTGATGATCATGCCGCCATTTAGTGGAGGATGCTGGGCATGGTTCATCATCATCATAATCATGATTTTTTACAGAACAAGGCAATAAGGTAGCCGTCAGCTTTCTATTTTGCTTAAGCAAAGCAAGAGTTGGTCATTGGTTCATTGAAATCTAATGAGAAATACAAACTAAATCTATGATCTATGAACTTTCGATGCCTAGAAGCGATAATCGATGGTAATACATCAAACGAAGTGTGCTGGGCATGGTTCAACAGTGTCCAGCTAATAATGATACTCGATCAGTTGCAACAGTACTGTTGTTACCAGAACTGATCGAGTGTCATCATAAGCGCACCAGCCAGCGGGCAGCAACAGTATGAACACCGCACCACCCGTGCGGCCCGGCCCACCCCGCCATGCGGCCGCAGTGGGCGCAGTGGGCGCTGGCGTACCTGTGGCGCCAGTCCCTGCACCACCGCTGCCTGCCCAGCCTCGCTGACTGCGCCCCCCTCCCCTGGCGCCGTGCCACCGCCCCGGCCCACCCGGCCGCCTTGCCCTCCTGCCACGGGTCCCAATTACATGCCGTCGCGAGCCCCGCGGACGATGACGCGCCGGCGGCCGGAGGGGAGCGGCAACCTCACGAGTGCACTGCGCGGGTGATCGAGGACGGGGAGCATCCGATCAGCTACAGGGCGTTCAGCCGCGCCGCCTGGAGGGTTGTGATGGGGATCAGGCAGAAAGGTGGGGTGAGATTTGTTGCAGAGAGAAAGACACAGGTCTTAGAAAGGGCATACCCTCCTCAGCAAGTGTATGCGAGGCTCTTTTCCATGCTGTGAAAAGATGATGCAGAAAGATGGGGGGAAAGGCCACGCGCACCTTGGTCGCAGGCTGCGCCTCCCCAGGGCGCGTAGAGCTGGCGAATCGAGGGAATTTGTGCGGCTTTGTGGGCGTGGATCGACGGCAAGTTGTGATTGTGCACGATGAGATGGCTGGGATGGGTGCATTTGGTCCATGGAGTCAAACAATTGACCCTACAGCCTTTTGCCTGGTCTTCTATAGTTTGTTTCAAGATGCGTTGAGTATGAAGAAGATCGCAATTACAGCCACATGGCTACCTCGCGAATTGGATACCATGCATCCACTTGACATCACTGAGCTGTGTACATGCTGACCCAAGCCCCTGTTCAGTGTTTCTCTCACGTTTTCTCTGCTGCGCACCAGTTGTCTTGGTCTCTGCCTTCTTTCTATTCATCTACTGCAGAGGCATCGAATGCACAGTCTGTGTTCGAAATGAACTGCCTTGCATAGGGTCTGCTTGTGGCAAGAAGCAGCTTCTTCATGAATTGAACACCCAAACTAGGACAGATGCACTTTGGCTTTAGGGTGGACAACTAGAATCTTGAATAGCCATTGTACCAGGCACGTTTTGAACTGTCACTGGTAGTGACTCACTATTTCAAATTAGATGGTATCTTCCAGAATGGAAGACAATATCCTTTGCAACTGCAAGACGATGATGGGGAAATGCGAAGATTGGAATCAAGTGCCAAAGTCTGGATGTTGCTACCAGGCTATGTCCATCGTTCTTTGTAAACCTGAACGCCCTGTAGTACATACTTGATTCCTCCCATGAGTGCTGCTGTATTGACCGAATCAAAGATATATGCGCCCTTCTGCACATCCATGTCAGTGCACAGTTGGTGCTCTTTGTGCTCTCTGGTTCTTCCATGCTTCAATCACAAATGACAGCTTTAGTCAGGTTTAAAAGAGTCAGTGACTATTGCGTTGTTTTGAAAATTTTACCTTCGACTGCATTTATCATTGATAGTGCAGAGCACTGGCCTTGCACCTGATGGCAATATTGCTTTGGTAGCTGCATGGATGGTCTTGCGCAAATGTGGGACTTGCAGGCTCTTGCACCTTGTAGGTGGCAGGCAATATTTTGTACATTTTAAGGCTCACAGAATGGCAATAAAAATTAGATGAACAGTCCCAGCAAATTGCCTGCCTCCAACTTGTAGTGCAGATTTTGTCTCCTAACCTTATCCAGTGGCTGGTGATGATGTCTTGCGCAGTATGGTGAATAGTTGCTTGCAGATTCAGCACTGGCAAATTAGAGTGGTCTTCAGATATGCAAGCCTCAGTTTTGCTTGCTGTGGCAAGATCAACCTCCCTGCACAGTGTTCTGGATTATGAGGATGTGCACCCCCGCACGCAAGTAGAAGCATTGTTTTAGATCCAATGTGGTACAGGGAAATAAACCTGGTTGATAGTGTTAGTTTCCCAGTTTGCTGTGGACATACCAGTGGTTCTGCACCTTCAAGTCCTGAGCAGACATATTTGGTGGCAGTACAGGGATGTGATTTTGGTTTTGCTCGCCTCAGGACATGAAGCGTACATTGTGGGAGGCACGATTCGAGACTTACTGCTGCAGCAGGAGCCAAAAGATTATGATATTTTAACAAGCGCTGAGCCTAAGGAGGTGCGAACCTGACTTGAATGGGATCAGAGCAACGGTGCAAGGGCACTGTCTGAGGCTGCAGTCTGTGGTGCAGGTCCTTACATCGTGTTTGCCAAGATACTGTAGCTGTTGTTATTGCTTCAGGTGTTGACAGCTACTTCTTGATTGCGCTGCTTGCTTCCCAATGCATGCAAGGCTCACTGACAACTCAACTCAATGGTGGCATCAACACATCGTCCGCAGTACTGTTCTTCCAGAATGCTGTCACGTTCAACCAAATCATTGATGCAGAAGCTGAATATTCTACAAGACAGCTTTTGTATTGAAATCTGCTTGCAGGTGCAGTTGTTGCTGCCATCTGGTGGTTGGGCATCCATGAATGATGTGAACCTTGAAGAACAAACACTGGATTTGGATTTATTCCCGCAATCACACCAGTGCGCCCATGAATACCATGTCCATGTGGACAGTGTGCCCAAAGTCTAACCAGACGTGGAACAGGAAGTTTACGGCCGTGCCACAGTCACGCATCGGTGCTCAGCAAGCGCCAATGCACACTGCCCATGCTGTCCCTGTTGCGCACTTCCAACAATGGCACACAGCAAATAACATATCTTGTGCAATTTGTTAAAATCATTTATCCCACCTGTGTATCCTATATATCATCCATACCCCATCTGTGGCATGTGGCTGCAGGTGTGCCGCATCTTTGCAAGGGCCAACATAATCGGGAAGCGATTTCCCATTTGCCAGGTCCACATGGATGGGACAGTTATTGAAGTGTCAAGCTTCTCAACCAATGTGGGCGTGGCACCTGTCGATCCTGCAGGCTTCCTTGCTGATGAACAGGTGACACTATGCACAAGTGGATGCATTGATATTGGAAGGCACGGCGTGCATGGGCACACCCTCCCCCGGCAACCAGTACAGGGCGGCTTCGCTGCAGAGAAATGGGCACCACCACTGGCAAGAGCGAAACAGAATCTGACTAGATGCATGTTTGGCTCCACAGTACTGGTGGTCGTATGTGAATGGCAGTTGCATGTTGCCCAGTCCACGACAAGTGCATCCTATCCATGCAATTCGAAAAATGGTACGCAATTCAAAATTTGCGCACATGGTCATGGCATATGTCTCCCCTGAGTTTCAGACAAAGGTTAGCGTCAGATGTGCTGGCAGTCAAAGGGGACTTCACAATGCTTGTGACCAGCAAAAACTTGGTGCACCACAAGAATTGATCACATTCTCTGCTTCTCAGGCAGTGCAGTGTTGTGTGTTCTAAAGGGGGGTACAGAAATACCAGACTTGGAAATGCCACAGCTGATTTCTGCCAGTGAGCATGGCAACCAGAGCAGCAAGTACAGCGTGGGGCAGACAGTGGTGATGCCTTTGTCAGATGGTCTCTAGGTTTGTGCATCTTGTCCAGTGGTGATTTCTGTGCTGAATCTGAAATATATCTGTTTGTGGCTGGCCTGTGTCGAATGTTCAAGGACAGGAAACGGGCTAACAGTTCAACTGGCCGTGCAACTGAGGGATGGAGAGATGCCCGGAGAAGGAACGCCTTGTCCCGTGATTTCACAGTCAACGCGTTTCTGTACGACCCATGCTCGCAGTTGCTCTTTGACTACTGTGATGGCCTTCAAGATATTAAGGACAGGCAGCTGAGGACAGTTGGGGACCCTGACGAATCATTTTCACAAGACCCAGCAAGAATGCTGCGTGCTGTCCGCTTTGCTGCAAGAGTTGGTAAGCATGTTGTCCCTCCGATCGACCAAACTGGCACTGTCCGTGGGGCTTCATCAGTCCATTGGTTAAAATGAGTACGTCAGCCTGTCTGTATGTCTGTCCATCCATCCGTCCACTGTCGTGTCCATCTGCAGGTCTATCCATCAGTCCACCACCAGGGTAGGCTGTCTGTCAGTGACTCGACAAATCAGTGTATCATCTCATTCTGAATAGCAACTAGTGAAATCTGCCGCTCAGTGCTGACTTGAAGAGTTGGTCAAGGCCTTGAGGCAGAAGGGTCTCCTTTGGTAAGGAAACAAACTCCAGCCATGTTTGCAAAGATGTGCTCGTGTTTGTCTGTCATGTCAGTGCAACACGTTCCCCAGGCACACATAACAGGCAGCCAAAGATGCTACTGCGGAATGGATCCCAAATAGATATGCACAATGTGCAATTGTTCAGACCAATCGATTGCCTTGTCACTGCCTCCCACTTCACCAAATCACTATCACCAAGTTTTGTGTCTCCGGCACGCTCTCCAATAAAGCAGGTCCTGTCTTTCTTTGTTGTCACAACGTCCAAGGAAAACAGTTGTATCTTTCCAATACAGATCTGACCCTCTATTTGCTGCATCTTGTTAAGATGGAATACTGTCTATTTTGGCAATCATCACCTTCGATGCGCAGGGGCACTGATTGTCATATTCTGGGACAATCAATCCCCAAATTGTTGTGAATGAACATTACAACCCAACCCACAGGATCCATACTTTGTTTCAGGTGGACTTTTTTGTCCCCATATTGGATATGAGACCCTGCATTGTGGACAAATTGGACTTCTGATAGCAGGTGTTGGAAGCACCATTCTATTCAGCCACGAACGTCGGCGTAATGTGATCGAAAATGGCATCCACAGGCCCTCATCACTCCAATGCAAAGTGTCATTATCTGCCTTGTTCATTACCTTCAGCAGATTTGCATGCTTTGTGCTGTTCACTTTGTTGAGTGCTCAAATGTGTTTTGAGACCTGCAGGATGATTGCTGTTGCAGAACCCAGGTGTAGCTGTACTGTGTATACGATACTGCAATGTATTGTCATTTATTCCGCCAATTCAAAGCAGCACAGCGCAAAACAGCAAGAACCTTTCTCATTTCGTATGTATCTCATGTATCTGTGTTCTGCACAGTGGCCACGATGTGGTCTGCAAAGGGAGCACAGCAGGTCATGTGCTGGCATTTCCCTGCCGAGCATGTTTTTCAAGGCCTTTTCTTTCATGCTGCTGTGATGATGCAATATTCTTTCAATGCAGCGAGAACATCACGCCAAATGAGTGGCATGATGACTAAGGCGAATTGCTATGGATGCGTTGGTGGTGGTCAGAATACTGGCTGTGGGTTCTCTGGATGGAGCAGCGTATGTTGAATGGGAGCTCTGCCCGTTGGGTTCTCTTGCAGGTCTGTCTATAGCTGAGGACACTGCCAAGGCTTTGATGAAACGTGCAGCAGATATATTGTGTATCCCTGAGGTGGGTTGTTTTCTGTTTTGGGCCTGGCATCCAAGTCTGTCGCGTCGCTGGTTTGCTCTTGTGGCTTTGCTTCAGTGCTGCGCAAGTTCATTGAGCAGCTGCCTTCTCAGCAGCGAAATTGCTTTGCTGGGATAGTGGCAGTGCAGCTCATGCCCCATGACTGGATATTGTGAACAAAACAAATTGGACACCTGTGTGGCAGGGTTGTGGTGGCGCCTGCTGTCCGAGCATGCCCATTACGATGAGTAAAAGGCACATCATAACAAAATACGTATAGTTTTTGTTGAACAGAAATTGGCTGGTTTAGAGTCTGCAGATTGGTCAGCATGGAGTTCTCTTGCATCTTTGGTGTTTGATAGGTCTATAGTTAAAGTCAACTTTCTTTCGCTGGAATGGATCTTCTGCAGATAATTGCACCATCGGATGCCACACTGTTGAATTGCAGTGATGTGCAGGTTCATGGTGAGCAAAGAGTGCTGAGTGCCAATACCCAAGCTTTGGTGCAGAAAGCGTCGTTTCTGGCGCAATGTGCACGTTGCAGCAGCTCCCAGCCACAGTTGAATGAGAACATGTCACCATTGCATGCTATGTGGGAACAGAACAGGTCATGGCAAATGCTTCCACCGAACTCAAAACATAAGACAGTATCGATCTTTCTGGTCACCACAATAAAATGCTGTTCTGGTTGCTTTTGTGGAACAAACATATACTGTGCTCATACCTGGAAGCTGACAAGCATTGTCATTCCCCACATTGTTTGCCACCTTAAGGCTTACATGTTTGCACTTAGTACAGATGGGTGGCCATCCAAGCACAGATGGATGGCCAGCCGAGGTGCTATCACGTTTGTCCAGTAACTGCTCCAGCCATCAAACTGCGCATACATTGGCGCTTGCTGCACACATAGCCGTCTGTCTGATTTCTGTGGTGTGCCAGGCCAGGCTTCAAATGGAAATGCATGCCATTCTGGCACATGGCCATGCTGCCAGATCAGTTCAAATCATGTGGCACCTGGGCGTTTTGGATGTGGTGTTGCCAGCCCTTGCTCGGCACTTGAAGCGCTGCAATTACCCAAGGTGCCAAAAATCATCGTTTGAACGAAGAGGAAGCGCATTATTCACACAACAGTCTACTGCTGAGTGATATCCTTTATGATTCCAAGGTGGCGAGGTCAATATTTTCTTGCCATTGTACACTGCTGCTCATTTTGAAATAACTTTTTGACTTATTGAGAATGAGCTGGTGGCTCGCTCGTGGGATGGCATTGGCTGCTGCCAAGCTTGTCAACCAATGTAGCATGTCTCAGCAGCCTGCCCAACGCTTAAAACTCGAACTATGCTTTAGTAGATACTGTTACTTTTGTTGGAATGTTAGGTTGCCTGAGGGCATGTGCCATGTCATGGATGTAGCTGGTGGCAAGGCTCATCATCTTAGCAACGCACGCAGCTGCTGTGACATTTTTGTTGTGAAGGTGCCATTCCAATGAGAAAACGAGGTTGATGGACTGAAGGCCCATGCTCAGAAATGGTCAATCCTTCTGTAAACATGCTGCCTTTCACCCCAGAGCTATTGGCCAGGCAAGCCAATAGCTCTGGGAACAGGAACTCATTGTTGCAACCTAGACCCATGTTATGCCACAGCAGCATCAGCGCACAAGAGCCCCTCCAGCACTGGCCTTCATGACGCGCCTACTTTGCCGCCAAAATGATTGCTACCTGTGGCGTGCTCGTGGCAGGAGTTTGGACACTTGCGAAGGGACGATGGCAGTGCAGATCCTGGCAGCCATGGACGCTGAAGTCACTGTGAGGTCTCCTGTTGTCCCCTCTGTCTACACAGCGCTGATAGCATGTACCCTTGTGATGGACAATATAAACCTTGTCAAGAAGAAAATGAAGCGACTGAGCCACGAGGTGGGTTTGATGGCAATAATGGCTGAATCCTGGAAGAAGAGGGCAAGGAAACCAAAACGAAGTAGTCAGCCTGCCTTTGCCTGCACGTGTCGAAATTTGAGGGACTGTCGCCCGCAACACGAAGTTGGTCACGAATCGAACTGTAAAGTGCGTTGGAGTAGAGAGGCAGGGTGTGGAGACGGTGCTGGCCGTATTGTGGAGGCGGGCAGCTGAAAGCACCTGGCACGCGAGGTGGATACGCGAGGATTTGTGCGTGCCTGTTTGTGTGCACCGGGAGGGAACTATTCACCTGACTCTGTGTTCGAAACGTGCTGGTCCATGGACGCGCGGTCAGCAGACTGCGATGATGGCCATTATTGCATCTTTGCCTGTTTCCTCTTTGCCTTGTTTCAGGATGTGAAGTTCAGGTTATTCCACATTTCAGGTTCCCCCATGATGTTCGCCCTTACCCCACGTGTCAACTTGTTGTCTCAACTTAGAATCTTTGTGATTGGTTGTGAAAGAAAATCAACAGTCCAGCATGCGCACATGTGCAGGGCGGCAGACATACCAGTGGCGGTACGGCAGACGTGCCATCTTTGAATAGGGTGACACCCCCATTGTTATTTCGGCGACATGCAGCATGCGCCTGGAGCAGGGATGAACCAATCACTGTACCGATCACATGGCATTTGGACCCTGAAAGTCACGGCACCTGTAGTTTCATCGATATGCAGCCAAACCCCACATGGCTCCCGGGCAGTGGTCGTCCCTGCATTGATATGATGACTTAATGCGAACATTGGCTGGCCATAAGCATAAGGTATGATGATGGGGAGTATGTAGATTTCTTACAGCGAGAGACAGTGCGCTTGGCTGCACTGATTGATTGACGCGTGGATGAACACATTGGACTGCTTTGATTGCCGAAGCTCGACACGGCAACGCCGCATTACCTTCAAAGCGGCGGCGGGCGTGATCTCGTCCAATTCTGTTGCGGCAGGAGCTCCATGGGCCACATCCGAAGGAGGGCCAGGTGGACCCAGAGGTCCGGCGGCTCAGGGTGCTGGCCGCCCAGCCCGAGGCCAGCGTATTCGCCCACCTGGTAGACGCCACGCTGAGGTCATTATGCACGCTGGGCGGTTATCAAGTCATCCCCAAAGCTGTCCAGGAGCAAGCGTCCAGGATCCTGACCAAGTCTGCGAGGGGGCCCGAGGACAACAGGTGTGCCTGTCACTTCTCTGTTTGCTGCCCGCAATGGAGGCCGTTTTGCCGGTGCACGTCTCTTCACGCAGAATTTGCGTGGTTGCAGCGAATTGCCTTTGCTGACGACCACCCCGTGGCAGCATTTATCGTCTTAGTTGCAGCGAACGTTAACTGGTGGGGTTGATTCAGCAGATGCCCAGATTGCACTGTTTTTTTTTCATTCGCATACCCCTCCCAAATATCGCGCAGTGTCGCTCTGAGCGCCCGCGAGAGTTGCTCCTATATTGTGTGAGACGTGCATTGGTTCCCCAGTGCCCAGCTCAAGAATGGCTGAATCGGGCACACGGCAGGGGCACAAGTGAGGCAATATGTGCACGATGCGGCTGAGACATGGATATATCATGAGAACGGAAATGTGATATGATGCTGTTGCAGCTAGGACAAATTGAGTACTATTACCGGCTTGACGCAGAGATGATGAGGCATTAAGAATTGCATCAACGGCATTGATGAACGGACTGGTTGAAAGGGACAAAACTCCAGTTGTCCCTTTGCTCGGCTCTGTACCGTTGCCGTGGACTCAGGCCTACGATCCTAGTCAGGGGTCGCCACCCCTCGACACTGCCTGCCTTAGTCAATGCGATGAATCGACCGTTTGTGCCTGCAGTGGTGGGCCACTTGATTTGGATGGCATCGACAGTTGGGACAAGCCCAAGAGGAGGAAGAAAGTTGTGAAGGGGGAGAAGCTTGTGGCTTCAATCCTCGCAATGGAAGAGTGGAAATGGAGGGAATCTACAAACATTGGGCTGCCAACAGATGGCCTGACAGTGGAAGCAACGTCAGCAAGAGGAAGCCCAAGATCCAGCAAATAGCGTGACGACTGTTCGCATGTCAATTCAGCATGTTGCTTTGACGGCTGTGGGCAGTGCGTGCGTTCTGCGCATGCGCCGGTGCATCAACCTGGCAGGAAACCCCGGGCCCATGAACACCACGCACCACAGGGATGTCACAGGCGAAATTTAATCGAATTCCGACATTCGGTGATGCTGAATTACGAAGTTGGCCCAACTCCAACTGGAAAACACCGCGGCACTCGTGGTTGCGACACCGCTCGACTTCCAAAAGTACGGAACTCTTCTTCGCTGCGCTGAGCCAGCATGGCGCACATCAGGTGTATGGTGGTGGAGAGCTGCGGCAAATGGGCGACCTGACACTCCCAGGGCCACAGTCCCTGGCCCAAGGCAGGCCTTCCACGGCACAGCAATCCTTCAGGACAAGCACCTTCAGGATCCAGCGTGCAACTTCCAGCAATTGATCAAGCGCTGGTCCAACTTCCAAAAGCCTTAAACACTTGATAACAGGCATCAAAAAGCTGTCAAGCGTCCAGGCTCGAGTGCTGCAGATGTTGGAGACCTGCCAGTTTTATGACATGATCGTCCATTGCCCTCTTTCCATGTAGCAGGCGCTATGACACTGGCGCCTGAACTAACGTCAGCCCAGTAAAGTACCAAAGCACAATTGCCACTATTTATCCTTTAGCTCTTGATAGACCCCCTGACACCACATAACCCATCCCATCGCATCGTTTGTGAACCCGATCACAAACAGAGAACAAACCCATGTCCCTGAACTATCTCGTTATACTTCAAAAAAGAATAATTCCTGTTCCTGCGCCGCTTCCTAGTCCTATCCTTGCCCGCATAATACCCTCCCTGCACAACAGTGCCACTCGCCAACACCACATGGATCGTGATTTCAACGCACGTTCCTGAGGCAGGAGTCTTGTGTGTCCATGCAAAAGCACTCCAAGATCCTAAAAATATGGTACAGGGCACCTTTGGAACGTCCAATTATCTACATTCCTGGATACGAGGGTGAAAACAAACGCCAGGCACTGCCTGTGCCTCATCTCGAAGAGCCCGAGCCACACCAGCTTGTCAAACGCAATCCACAAACACAACTGTGTTCAGGGCATGACACAAAACCCTTTCTGTCTTGCCTTCCACCCCTCAGGGTTCATCCCGAAGTGCCCACTGTGAGCCACTCATCGTAGCGATCGAGTCAGGGAAGAGAGGCAACGATCGGCTGCAAGAACAGTCTTTCCTTTCCGCCTTTCAAAACCCCAAGTTGCTGAAAAGCTGTCCACCATAACCACCCCTGGATGCTTGAAGACAACAGCAACCCAGAGGCTTTCTGCTGGTAGGATGATGCTGTTGGACTGATTTACACCAAAGACCAAAAAATTTCCGCTGGAATCCATAATCATCTACCTAAAAACCCATCTAGCTACATGCCCTCACGACCAAACCCTTTCCCCTTTTTTAACAGCTGCTGTGACATTGATCCCACGCTTGTTGGTCTGAGCTTGTCTTGAGTGACAAATCATGAGCTGAGCCCACGTGGCTCTGCTGGGAATCTAATCACCCAGGTTAAGGTCACAGTCCGGGGAGCAATAGGTCCACAAAGTGTACCCGCCAGCCTACAGCACCAACGCCATGCGGGCTCCAGGGAGTCACATCAGTGCTCTGGCAAACCACATGAAGCAGCACCGTTTCCTGTGCAAGCCCTTCACCACCCCACCCGAAGCCATCGACTTCTGGGAGGCAGTGTCTGGGGATCTCAGCCCACTGCCGATTCCGGAGCACATCCAACAGGTGGCACCTGGGGACCTTGTTTTCTTTGCAAGTGATGAAGCCCGTTCCTTGTCCCCCAAGAAATTCAAACTAGCCCCCCCTTTCTATCTACTCCCAGCGTCCACTTCTCCACACGCGGTCGCTTGACATCCACGCCCTCCCCCCTCCCCTCCCCCCCCGCCCACCCCCACCCCCACCCCCTCGTCTTCCCCCTGCCTCCCCGTCTCATAACCCATCCAGAAAAATGGATCTGCCGAATCTCCCCCGATTCGTCGGCGCCGGGTCCGATTCGACCCCGCCGCTCGGGTCCCGCCGGCCGCCCTCACAGCCGGTCGAGCTTCGACCCCACGACGACGGGGTTGTCCGCCGCGATCTTGCGCCGCTCGGCGCCCTTGTGGTCGAATTCGCAGGCGTGTGCCTCCGCGTAGCGGTGCTCGCCGCAGAACACGCCTCCGCACTTGCACGCGAAGCCCGTCAGCCCCACGCGCCTGCGGCACACTGGGCACCTCATCTTCGCCGGCCTCGCGTTCCTGCGCTCCGGCGGATCCCGCGCCCCGGGGGCTACCACGGCCGGGCGATCGATCTCAATCGACGGCGCCGCTGGCACGGCCGGCACCGAAACCGGCTCGCGCGGCTGGGGTGCCGCGGGGACGGCCGCGCCGGTGGCCGCGCTGGTCGCCGCCCCGGCGCCGGGCTCCGCCTGGGGCCGCGCGGGCTTGGGCGAGGCGCGCTGCTCGCGATCCGCCATCTCCCGGTAGCACTTCGAGCAGTAGGGGCCGCACGCAGGGTTCCTGCACCCAACACGCACCGAACCGACGTCAGCCACCACAGCCTCGGGGAAACATGCCACAGCCAATCCCCCACCGGGATGGGGACCCTGTTTTCTTTTGCCAGTGAAGAAGCCTGCTCCTTGTCCCCCAAGAAAAACTCAAACTAGCCCCACCCCACCCCCTCCTATCCACTCCCAGCATCCTCTTCTCCACACGTGGTCACATGACATCCACACCCCCTCCCCACGCTCCCCCCCCTTTTCCCAGCCACTCACGCGAAGAACCCACAGCCATTCTCACACAGCGCCGGCTGGTTGGCCTGCTGCACGCCCTCGTCCTGCTCCAGGTGGTTGGCCATCCCTGCCCTCGAGCCCCCGGGGCGAGTAACGGTCTCCGGAGCGCGACCGCCCGCGGCGCGATCGGCGACGATGCCCGACGCGGCGACCGGCGATGCGGACGCGGTCCTCTGGGTCACGGGGCGGCGCGGGCGGCTGCGGCGAAAGGCCTCTTTCTCTTGGCGGGCGCCGGACAAATTGCAAGGCTCACGGCGGTGATGCTCTGCTGCCCCTTCGGTGTGGGCTCCGGGTGGGCGGTGGATGGGGCAAGGGGGGCATGGGCGGGGGCTTATCTACGCATGCTGATGTGGGCTTCTAGAGGCTCTGTGGAAGGGCCAGGCCGCCGAGGGTGGCGGTGTCGTCGCGGCAGCGCTTGGAAGGGTGTGAGTGAGCGCATCGGTGCCCAGGTGGCCGATGAGCTGGGCGCTGGTCACACGCTTGTACAAGGGCCGCTGGCTCCTGATATCGGCTCCTTGGGCTGCTCGCGGACTGTTCGTGTTGGCACCCAATTAGTCGCTGTCTTTTCCCATGAAGATCCCTTCTCGTTTGGGACACCCTAAACCCTAAGAACCACTGAATCACTGACCGGCGTTGGCCTTATCAGAGGAAGAAGTAGGAACTGCACGAGAAAGACAGAGGGACTAATACATTTCCGTTTTCGCGTGTTGGCGGAATCTGGCTGGCATTCGAGCGGGTCGTTGTGCGCTTGGTGGTGCCCGACTGGGTTTTCTGCGCGCCGGGAATGACGAAGTGGCTGCATGGGGCCGCCAGAGCACGCCACCGCGGCAGTGCTGGAAAAGGTCCAAAACAGGCAGCGAAAATGGCACGTGAAATAGCTTTGGGTGCGTTGTTAAAACTGCCGTTAGTCATGAGCACCGGCACATCATAGGCGGGCTCATGACCTACATAGGGCAGCTGACTGGGCCACTATCAAACAGCCAGTCAGGGTGAACAAGAAAGAAAAAAGGAAGCCAGCAAAGAAAAAATAGATATGCGTTCACAGAAAGAACAAGGGAGAGCCACTATGCAACCGGCATATCAAGAAAATATCAAAGGCTTGCTGTATCGTTATAGTTTATTATGCTTAACGTGCTGCCTGGACAATGTTTGTAGGGAGAAGACCAAGGAAGCAAGGTCAGTCACAACCCCTCAGTGGCTGATCTGGGCATGATGAAGAACACTGATGCTGTTACGCGCACCAGCCTGATGTGGGAGACGTCCTACTAATGGCCCTTGGTGTGGGGGACGCCCTGCCCAAGGCACGTACTATTCCTCACCCACTGTAACCTTTATCCATATTAAGATACGGGAGTAGGAG